TATCCAGCACTGCCAATGCTACCTCCACCACCACCGCCACTACCGCCACCTCCACCGTAGCCTCCCACATGATCTCCTACTCCGTATCCGGTCCCACCACCGGCACCGGCACCGCTACCATAGCCGGCAACTCCAGCCTCTACCGTGTAGAGGGCTCTAGCAGCAGAGCATATGGTCACCCCTAAGAGCACTAGGAGTGAAATAGTCACAAGTCTACTACTAGTGCTTCTGATAGTAGTATTAGCCATTGTTTGTGTTTTGTGTGCGTACTGATGAAGGAATGTTTGATGGGTATTTATAGGGTTTGGAGGTGAGCTTGTGGGCTCAAAAAGGGAAGAAAGAGCTAGGATTCACTTTGGTGGATGGGAGTGGTTGAAGGCGCATGGGATTTGTGCGTGTTAGGCCCACAGATGCCAACATTCTCTAGTTGTGATGCGCTTCTCCTGGCATGCACGATCTATGGGCTGTGAAATATTGAGCTGTTTTTATTATTCTTGTGACCTAACTTATGGTCTTATACCACATCATTTCCCTTATCTTGAGACCCGTGGATTTTGAGTCATCTATACCTCTTTCACACGAGCAAACTTAGCAGTCTATTTAAACATGCACAGCACAAGGTATCTAATATTCACAGTTTTAGACTTGGAAATTCTGGATTAGCAACATTTCATCAATTCTCTTCCCCAACAGTCAATGCTGGGTTTACAAGTGTTAATAGAGCAAATGTTGCAAGAAGAGTAATAGCTAGAGCTCCAGGGAATTTAACTCGGGCATCTCATTTCTCTTCTTTGGACTCTCAGATTCTTGATTTTGACCCATGTTATATTGATAGAGGTGGAGGGCAATAATGCACTTTGCTATCTGGAATATTAGGGGCTTTATTAAGTCTCCTAAACACTTAATTGTGAAGCAATTCATTCATGATTATAAGCTACCCTTTATAGCTCTTTTAGAAACAAAGCTTTCTGCAGGAAAAATGGATAAAATTGCCCAAAAAATTGCAAAGCATTGGGAATGGACTTCTAATGTTCAAGAAGCAGGTAATGGGATGATTTGGCTTCTTGAGAATAGTGACATACTCTCTATACAGTGTGTCAAAGTTTCTATACAATATATGACATGCTCAGTCCATACAAGAGATGTCAGGTTTTCTTGCTTAATGACTATGGTTTATGCTCTTAACCAAAGAGAGGGAAGGAAAGCACTATGGCATGATCTTCTAAACTTTAAGCAATCAGTTAATTGCCCTTGGTTAGTTGGGGGAGACTTCAATGCAATTCTCAGTGGTGAGGAAAAGCTGGGTGGTGCACCAATTTCTGAGGCTGATACTGAAGACTTACAGCACTTTATTTCCTCTAGTCAATTGGTGCACATTAAGACTACTGGGTGCTTCTACACTTGGAATAATAAACAAGAGGCTGATACTAGAGTATGGAGCAAATTAGATAGAGTTTTGATCAATGAACTATGGATCTTACAACATACTTCAAGTCAAGTAGATTTCATGCAGCCAGCTTGCTCTGATCATTCACCAGCACTCATAACAATGGGAGAAGATGAGTTTCAGGGGAAAAAGCCTTTCAAGTTTTTCAAGATGTGGACAAAACATCATGAGTTCCTCCCTATTGTCAAGTATATTTGGGACCATGATGTACATGGATATTATATGTTCAAGTTATATTCAAAGCTTAGGATGCTCAAGCCAATACTGGAAGGATTTAAATAAAAGACACTTCATGAATATGAATATAAGTGAACAGGTGTTAAGAGCCAAGTAAGAGCTATCTGATACTCAAAATAAATTGTGTACTGATCTTTTTAACCCTCATCTCATTTCTAAGGAAAAGGAAAGCTTAAAGAAATACACTACTCTGCTACATTGTGAGGAATCATTCTATAGACAGAAAGCGAACATTAAATGGGCTGTGCATGGAGATAAATCCTCTCAATTCTTTCATTCAATCATGAAAGCTAGAAGACATCATAACAGGGTTCTATTTCTTTATACTGAGGATGGCAATAGAATATCTGATATGTCTACAATCATCACTGAGCTTATTGATTATTACAAGAGACTCCTAGGGACTTCAGGGAGTTATACTGAGCCTGATCCAACTATCATTGCCAATGGCCCCATCTTATCTTCAACCCAAAGGAATAAGCTAGGCTCTCCTGTCACAAGGGAGGAAATAAAACAGGTTGTGTTAACAATGTCAGATGATAAAAGCCCAGGGCCTGATGGATTCAGTGCATCATTCTTCAAAGCTGCCTGGAGTATTATCGGAGATGAAATGTCCAAAGCTGTGGAGGAATTCTTTTATACTGGTAAGCTTCTTGGTACCTATAACTCTACCTCTATTACCCTGGTGCCTAAAATCCTTAACCCCAGATCTCCAGCTGATTATAGACCAATCTCCTGCTGCAATTGCATATACAAGGTTATTTCAAAAATCATAACTGCAAGAATTCAGAATGTTATTGGATTTCTGATTGATGATGCACAAAGTGCATTTGTTAAAGGAAGGCTTATTTCTAACAATATCATGCTAGCTCATGAACTTATAAACATTATGGTAGAAAATATGTCTCTCCAAGAGCTGTTCTCAACATTGATCTGAGGAAAGCATTTGACATGATTAGCTGGAGTTTCATCAGACACATGTTAACAGGTTTGGAATTTCCTAATAACATGATTACTTAGATAATGGAATGTATCTCTACTCCTAAATTCTCTCTGTCAATTAATGGTTCCTTGCATGGGTATTTTAAGGGAGCTAGAGGACTGAGGCAATGTGATCCATTATCTCTTTACTTGTTTGTGTTAGGGATGAAATATCTATCTAGAAAATTAAAGACTCTCAGCACTGATAGAAGATTCAAATATCATCCAAAATGTGCTAGAGTGAAGATTACACACTTGGTATTTACTGATGATTGCCTACTGTTCTGTAAAGCTGATATGGACTCAATATCTAAAATGCATAGCCGCCTTCAAAAGTTTAGCAGAGTTTCAAGTCTGGAGGCTAACTCTAGCAAAAGTCCAGTCTTCATGATTGGTATATATTAATGATAATTCAAAGATACAAATATGCACATTCTTAAATTTCTCAGAGGGCTGTTTACCAATGAGGTATTTAGGCATGTCATTGATTTCAAAGAGACTCTCTTTCCTTGACTGTTCACCATTGATATCCAAAATTTTAGAGTAATTTCCAACTTGGCAGAACAGGAAGAAATTGTCATATGCAGGGAGAATTCAGCTCATAAAGTCTGTCATTCTGGGGATCCAAATCCATTGGACAAGTAATTACATTCTGCCGATCAAGGTTTTAGAAAAAATTGACAAGTTGTGTTCTGCTTTCTTATGGGGCAGCAAAATCCATCTGGTGTCCTGGACTGAGGTTTGCAAGGATAAAAAGCTAGGACGTTTGAGTCTCTTCACAGCTAGAAATTAGAATTATGTTGCAGCTATTAAATTGTTATGGATGATACATACA